ACATCTATCAAAATTCATTAAACTGTACATCTGAAATACGTGTAGTTTACTATACAGGACTCATACCATAATAAAGGGGTTAAAAAAACTACAATGAGATATCACCTCACACTAGTCAGAATGGCCAGCATTAAAAGTCCACAAGTGATAAATGCTAGAGAGGATGTGGAGAAAAAGGAACCCTGCTACATTGTTGGCGGGAATGTAAATTGGGGCAGCCACTATGGAGCACTAAGGAGTACGGAGGTTCCTTTAAAAAACTAAAAATAAACTTACCATATGATCCAGCAATCCCACTCCTGGGCATATATCCAGAGACAAAGAAATTTTAATTTGAAAAGATACATGCAGCCCAATGTTCACAGCAGCACTATTTACAATAGCCAAGACATGGAAGCTACCTAAATGCCCACTGACAGATGACTGGATAAAGAAAGATGTGGTATATATACAATGGAATACTACTTAGCCATAAAAAGAATGAAAGAATGCCACTTGCAGCAACATGGATGGACCTAGAGATTATCATATTAAGTGAATCCAGACAGAGAAAGACAAGTATAATATGATGTCGCTTATATGTAGAATCTAAAAAAAAAAAAAAAAAAAACAAATTTATTTACAAATTAGAAACAGAATCACAGACATAGAAAACAAACCATGGTTACCAAGCGGACAAGGTGGGGAAGGACAGATTAGGAGTTTTGGATTAGCAGACACACGTTACTATGTATAACCCAACCCAAAAATGGGCAGAAGATCTAAGCTAACAATTCTCCAATGAAGACATGCAAATGTCCAATAGGCACATGACAAAATGCTCAATATCGCTAATTATCAGAGAAATGCAAGTCAAAACTCTAATGAGGTATCACCTCATACCAGTCAGAATGGCCAGCATTCAAAAGTCCACAAATGATAAATGCTGGAGAGGCTGAGGAAAAAAGGGAAGCCTCCTACAATGCTGGTGGGAATACTGTTTGGTGCAGCCACTGTGGAAAACAGTACGGAGATCCTCAAAAGACCAAAAATAGACTTATCAAATGATTCAGCAATCCCACTCCTGGGTATATATCCAGAGGGAATCTTAATTCAAAAAGACACCTGCACTCCAACGTTCACAGAAGCACTACTGACAACAGCCAATACACGGAAACAACATAAATGTCAGTCGACAGATGACTGGATAAAGAAGTGGTGGTATATTTATACAATGGAATACTACACAGCCATAAAAATAATAAGATAATGCCATTTGCAGCAACATGGATAGACCAGGAGATTGTCATTCTAACTGAAGTAAGCCAGAAAGAGAAAAAAATACCATATGATATCACTTATATATGTAATCTAAAAAAAGACAAATGAACTTATTTACAAAACAAAAAGACTCACAGACATAGAAAACAAACTTACGGTTACCAGAGAAGGGGGTGGGATGGGATACATTGGGAATTCGAGATATGCAGATACTAATTAATATATATAAAACAGACAAACAACAAATTCATACTGTATAGCATAGGGAACTATATTCAATATCTTGCAGTAAACCTATGGTGAAAAAGAATATGAAAATGAATATATATATGTTTGTGTATGACTGAAGCACTGTGCTGTACACCAGAAACTGACACAACATTGTAAACTGACTATACTTCAATAAAAATAGTTATACACACATTACTACATATAAAATAGATAAACAACAAGGACCTACTGTATAGCATAGGGAACTATATTCAATTTGTTGTAATGAGCTATAATGGAAAAACATCTAAAAAAAATTTTTTTAATGTACCATCATTACTTTGTGAAGACACAAAAAATGTACTTTCCCAAAGTCAACATAAACTTGCATCTTACACTGCTCCTGCAGTAAGCAAACTTCTGCTGCCCCTTCCAATTTCTAGGTCAATCTGTCTCAGCTCATCTAAAAACAGCGCCTGGTGCATCCTCTCCACACACCTAAGTGAAATGCAGACTCTTCACCGTGCCTGAGAAGGCCCTCCTTTCTGAAGGTCGTGCCCCCTTCTAAATGGTTATCTTTCTAAACCTCTCTCTCACTGATACGCTTTGCAAACCAACCTGGCTAGTTTCCTCCCTTTCCTCAAACAGTTTATATTTCCTGCCACCACACCCTCGCTTATACCATTCCCTCAATCTGAAACGCCCTCTCCTAGAACTCTATTAATCAGAACACTAGTAGGCATTCTTTAAGGAGAGTTCAACTTCCACCTCCTTCTTGAAGTCAACACCAGTGCAGCTGAAAGCAGGCATTCCCTCTAGTCACTGACAGACAGGTTTCTCTCCAACCAGGGAATTAGCTCCCACAGGACGGAGCTATGCCTTCCACTTAGCACCCTCACAGTGCGACCAGCACAGGTGACTAGCACATAGTAAGTGTTCATTAAATACATTTGTTTAATAAACGTACACATAGTGACACACGTGCAGAATGACATCACACCAGAAACAAATGATACCAACCATTTTTACCAAGGTAAATAAGGAACGGAAGGTTTAAAATGTCATTCTGACCCACCTCAGGTATACTGGGAAAATTACTCAAAACCTATGAATAAAGAAGCCCCAAGAGGGAGGGTATAGCTTAAGTGGTAGAGTGCATGATTAGCACACACAAGGTCCTGTGTTCAATCCCCAGTACCTCCTCTAAAGATAAATAAGTAAACCTATTTACCTCCCCCACCACCAAAAAAAAAAAAAAAAGAAGCCCCAAATGCACCCACCAATAAGTCAAAGGACTATGTGGACACTGGATACTATCTCTAGCTAGGGAAGTAAACATCATGTCTTATCAAGGTCAGAAAAAGCTTAAAGCTTAATCAGCACAAAATCACAACGCGGCACTCAAAGTCAGGGCCATGACCGGGGAGTTTTAAACAGTCTTGGGGTGATGACGATCAGCATTCCCCGTCTGAGAAACAGTGACTGCGTGACTAAGGCCTCAGACCTCAAGCCTGGAATGTTAGGCATTTATGCTACATGGTAAATAGCAAGTTTGAAGGCTGTGATAAAAGCAGAATCACTGTTTTAAAATAATTTAGCTATTTCCTACCTTTAGGAGTCCCCAGTTGGGGATTGAACTAGCCAATAAAATACGCATTTTTAGGGTAATGGGAATTATTAAATGGCTGCACCCACAGTGCATTCTTACCCTCCCCAAATATCACGGAGCACCTTACACAATGTCATCTAACATGTAAGTTAAACATGAATAGCTGTCGTCTGACTTCTTCAGCTGAACAACAGCAACCCTGTCCACCCAAAACAAAAATCACGTAAGACAGTGACAGTTTAGGGAAGTCAGGACATACGTCTAAATGTCGACTCCAAAGTCCAGAAACGCGATGAAGACCACGGGCACGGTAAACAGCACTAGCAGCAAGCACTTTCACAGCATTTACTTCGTGCCAAGCGTGGTTCTGAGATGTGCACGTGTATCAATCTGCTTGCTCCTCAGAAGAATTCTGGTATGTATCACCGTAATTCCATTTTACAGATGAGAACACTGAGGCAAAAACAGCTTAGGTAACTTACTCAAGGTCACGTATCTCATAAGGTACAAGGCCAGAATCCACACTCAGGAGGTCTAGCTCCAGAGCCCAGGCTCTTAACCACACGCAACATCCCCTTTCTGTCTAACTCCCAAGACATGCTAGTATCTATCCCCGTTATGACCTACTGATCGAGCACTTTTTCTCCATTTGCACTGCTGCTTTCCTACCTCTGAGAAACCTGTTTGCTTTAATTGTTCATCAAATAATCCTACACCTTCTTAAGACTTAATGGGACCTTATAGGATGTGATTCTAATGGCCTGTTCTAGGTAATCTCAAGTTAGTTCTTGGTTTAAAGAGTTCTCAGCTTTTGAGATTTGAAATTTCAATGGCGCTTCATATCTGTTATCTGAAAGAGGAAGGTAGGTAAACACTTACTAGTATCTGGAGTTTTCTCTTCAGATCTGCCAAATAAAAATTCATATTTGGCCTTGGCAACACTCTGGGAATGTGCTGATGCACTGTTAACCCAAACAAATGTCTCTGCCTGCAAAATTAGAGCAAAATAAAGGCCTCATTAAAAATACATCATAAAATATACATCATAAAGCAATCAACCAACAAGAGAATGGTTATGACATTTCTAGTGATAGAATGCTATACAGCCATTACAAATGAAACCTGAAAAACAGAACATGACAAAAATCAGAATATGAGGTGATCACAGCAAGATTACAGCTATATGAACATCTATAGGCGAATAAGAAAAATATGAAAAGTTTGGCTTGATTTGGGGGCAGAATTATGGCAGAATTTTTTAAAATTAAGTATGCACTACTTTTTGTCATGAGAAAACTGTATTTTATATTTAGACACATTATTTTCCAAATGATCATCATTACCCACAGCCCACAGCAGGAATATTTCTGTGTATGTGTTCTGCTAACCTATGTCAACAAAAAGTAGTCTTTCCCCAAAAGAGACCCCATTTTTACATAAGCAGACATACCATTTAGCCAAACAGAGCATAGAACAGAAATGCCAGGCACTCCATTTATACTTATTATCCTAAATTTGAGCATCTGTCCCAGTGTCCTTTGGAAATCCTAAATGCACCTTATGGCAAAGAAAAACTACAAAGATGAATGAAAGCGGCTCACATCACGACTCTGAGTTCCTATCACCCTCTTCCTGGCTGCTTTAGGCAACTGCCAAAAATCAGGAGTGCCTCCCTTCTCCAGCCTAGGATTAATTAAAAATAAGTAACAAAGTAGAAACGTCAAACACAAGAAATCTGACCAAGTCCAATCAGGGAGTCATTATGTTGCCTCTTTACTCTGAGCTCAAAAATTAACCAGGATCCAGGTATTACCACACTGGCTTCTACCCTCTAGTTACGAGACATCTTCTTTCTCATGTCTGAGCAGCAACTGACTATTCACTTCAGGAGAGAGGAGCATGAAGCAACCAGGCAGTTACTTCAAAGAGGGAAGTTTTATGACTTCTGTTTCATCCTTTGGAGAAGAAACGGTTCACAGCTGTAAGGAGGCCCACGGTGGGGACACGACCACCTCCATCACCCCCAGCAGACAGGTTCATGGGCAGGCCTCTCTTTGTTCCTGAATGCCAGCATCAAAGACCTTCCTGCACAGTTTAGAAACAGCGATTTCTTAAAGTAGCTCTGTAATCATTTAATGTTCACAGTGTGTAAAATGATTCTTTCTGGAAAAGGTACAGACTCCTATAGGAGCTACATGTTTCACAGTCACAGGCTGTTAATTATCCTTTCCCCCGACAGAAAGGCAGTATTAATTTTTTTGATGTGTTCAGGGAGTTTCAGGCTGGTAGAGGACACTGGTGCCCTAATTCAGGTGAGGTGGTCAGGACAGGCTCTCTGAGGAACCAACACTGCAGAGTCAAGAAGGAAGAGAGCTGGGGAAGGTCAGAAACATCCATTTCAGCAGGAGGGTCACACGCAACGGCCTCAAAGTATGAAAGGACCAGGCCACCTACACAACTGAGGGAAGGGCAGCATGGCCACAAAATAGTGGGTAAGTGGGTGAGTTCAGAGTCTGCCTGGGAAACAGCATGGCAGGGACAAACCCTGGAGAGGAGGCAGGGGCCAAACACACAGGGCGTGTGGGTAAGGGAAAGGCTCTATGGGAAGCCACTGGAGGGTCTGAAATGTATGGCAGTTCGTTAACATTTTTGAAAGACCGTTCACTTATCATTTTAAAAGGTCATATGGTTGTTACAGGGGAAGTGGGTGGAGAGAGCCAAGAGGAGGCCGAGCCCTCAGGCAGAAGCGCCAAGGAGACAGTACGGAAGCTGAGACTGGGATGATGGCAGTGGAAACAGAAGGAGATAAACAGGAAACACATTTTATCAGGAAAATCTACTTACATTTTCTGATAAACTGGACATAAGGGAATAAGGGAAAGGAAGAAATCAAGCATGATTATAGTAGGCAATGTCTCCCGACCACGTAGTCCAGGCCAGGCTGCCCTAATGCCACATGCGGGATGCCTCACGCTCTGCTCGGAACAGTCCTCTCGGGTGGGCAGCGCGGCTGCCACCCCAGTCGCACAGGCGGGGAAAGGGAGGCAACAAGCGTGTGAGCATCTCGTCCATAGTGACACAGCTGGTAAGTAAACTGTGGACCCTAGGTTCAGACTCTGAATCCAGAACCCACGACCGGCATGGCTCTGGCATGGCTCCCGGGCACCCGGCTTGGGCGGCTGCCAGCTGGGTGGTGTGCTGGGACGGGGGAGCCCAGGGAAGAAGCATTATCAACAGCTTGGATCTGGGCTTCCAAGTGACCTCAAGAAGACAACAGAGAAGAAAATTCTAAAGAAAAACTCCATTACTGTTGTGCTAGAAAACAAGAAAATATGCCCCTGATGAAGAACCAGCTTTAAGAAATTCCAGGAAGGTAATTTTTTGAAGTAGTCTCAACTTAAGAGTTCTTAACCTCAGTTCCATGAGGGTGACCTGTCGTTAGAAATCTGAAGTCTGAAGTCTGAAGTCCGATGGGGGGGAAAATGTATCTTTATTTCCATTTACTTTAAACTGAAATTTAGCATTTTTTAAAATGTGAATGTATGCGACAAACCACAGTATTATTACCAGTAACCAGAACTGTGTCACCACCAACAGAAATCATAGCGATTTTTACACCATATAACAGTTACAGCAAGTATCTTCAACTGTCATTCATACTCACCCCTATTTGAGATGATAGTAGTTACTAAGACCTACCACTAAATCTTACTATGAATAAAGAAACACAATGTATTCCCATGTCACAAACCTGTTTAATATTTTGGTAGCCAATATAACTGGTTTCTTTTGTAGCTCTATGTATATTATTATATACACTTAAAAAGCATTATTCTGACAAGAGAGCCAGAGCTTCACTGGACCTGCAAAAGGGGTCACAGCACAAAAGCAGGTTAAAAGACCCTGTTTCAGAGCATCAGTCCTTCAACTGCAGTTCATGATCCACCAGTGGCTTTGTATCAATTGTGTGGGTCATGGCCAGATTTTTTTATAGGTAAGTTAATACACATATATATATACACATGTAACAGAATGAAACTGAAAATATCAGAGTAGAGCCCTTGGTAAGAAAAATCACTGTTTTATGAAACTTCTAAGTCACATGTGTTTGTGTGTGTGTGTGATGTAAAATGTATTTCTCACCGTGAGTCATGATCAAAACTGTTGGAAACACAGTGCTCTAGGGGCTTCTCAAACTTAGGCATGAATTAGCATCCCCTGCAGGGCTTTCTAAAGCACATATTGGGGAGTTCACCCAGGTTTTCTAACTCAGTGGGTCCAGGATTTTTGGCCTGAGAATGTGCGTTTTCTAGCAATTTTGCAGGTGATGTTGATTTGGTCCAAGGACCAAATTTTGTGAACCACGCTTCAGGCCAATGTTTTTCATACTTTATTGTATATATGAACTTCTTGGGAATCTTGTTAAAATATAGATCTCGCAGGTCTGGGGTGGGGCCCGAGACTGCATTCCTAAAACGTTTCAAGAGGATGAGGACACTGGGCCACAGGGCACACCTGTGCTAAGGCTTCGAAATGATCAAAGCACATTCAGATTTTCACAGAAGAGAAAAAAAAAATTTAAAGGATGCTCTAACCAGGAGTAAATTATACCATAGGGCTCCACTCTAATAAAGCACCCCATAATATGACAACTGTGGGCCTGGTCAGGCCCAGAAAAAACATTATCATTCCCATGAGTTGCGCATTGAAATAGAATTCTCTCAGCTCACAGGGGTAATTTTTAAAGCTGGGAGCCGCACTGCTACATTCTCTTCCCAAGCCAAGGGTTACAAATCTTCACCCACCTCCACAACAATTTTTGCCTGTCAAGAAAACTATATTTAAAACATTCAGCACTACTTTCTCCTTCTGTATGACTAACTGAATAATATATATTCTTTTGTTTTATCACAGCAATTTTAGAAACGTAAATGTCGTTAAGAAGTATGGGGTATCAGGTCACAGTAGCAGACGGACTGACTGTCAGATGACCCAGACTTAAATCCCACTTGAGACTTCTGCCCAATCGCACACTCATGTTTAGTCTCTGGACTTCAGCTTCCCTATTGATAAAGAGTGTTGTTCATTTATCTCTAAGGTCCCTCCTACTTCTGAAGAACAAACATTCTTCACACTTCTAAGCCCCTTCCATAGGTATTTTATTAAGGAAGAATAACAGAAATCTTCTCCTTATGATAAAATTAACAATGACATGATCACCAAAACCTGCCCTGCATTTAAAGACAGGTGTCCACCACTAAATGGACAGGACAAATAAAATTTCAACCTTACATTTTAGATGGCTTTTCAAATTTACAAAGAATTGTCACCTAATATCATCCAAGTCTCAAGATGTTGCTGATTATAATTAAACAATTTTAGATGCAAGAGAAACACTACTTATGTAAAATAATTCTTTGAATTGCCTAGCTATAAAAAATCAAGAGGAGAATGTAGAAAGTTGCAAGCAAATTTTAGAAATGAAAATAGTTTTCAGTTGGTCTGGGAGGGGAAGCATGGAGAGGGAGAGGTGGAGACGGGCTGAGGGAAGTCGAGGAGGGTGGTGTGCTCCTTCAGGTCCCTATCATTTCAGTTTCAGGAGAATGTTCAGAGGACATGAGGCCCTGTAAGTCAGTCAGAGTTGAGTATTATAAAGTTCCTTAGGCTAGAGAACATTGAAAGCTAAAGCAACAACTATAAAAATAATATTTCACAACTCACTCAAAACTAATACTTGATTCCAACGTTCACACTGAGCGCTTGATCCTGTTCCATCCCATCTGGTCCCATCACCAGCAGAAGTCAGGCCCATGGGAGCAGGGCGCCGCGCAGCCCGACTCAGGTGCAGGCAACACTGGACGCTTGGTGCCGATGTGGCAAAGGGTGGTAGTTAGGCGCTATGGGCTGAACTGTATCCCCCACAACTCATATGCTGCAGTCCTAGCCCCCAGCGCCGGCGATGTGGCTGTGTCTGGACACAGGCCTATA